TTATGACCCCAATTGTGGTGGTGGTGGTGGTGGCTGAACACAGTGGCTCGACAACACGGGGAGACGGATGCCATTGTGAGTTCAACAGTCGAAGGAAGGAGGAGGTGGCGGTGGGGGGGGAGAGGAAACAGCCAAAACGAAAAACACATCCTCCTGCTGCCCACAGCTTCCACACCCCCTCCCCTTGTCCACGCTTCCCCCGTGGTCAACTCAACGTCCTTGGACTTGCGTGGCGCACACACAACGCTGTGTCCGGTATCGTGGTGGTGGGGGTGGTGGTGGCCGTGGGGGTGGTGGTGCTCGTGTTGATGTGGTGGTGGTCGTGGTGACAGTGGTCGTGCTGCTGCTGCTGGTGGTGGTGAAGGCTTTACTGGCAATTGTTGTTAATGGTAGTGATAGTGCTGCTGATGATGTTGTTACTGATGATGTTTCTGATGATGATGTGACTGCTGATGATGCTACTGATGATGATGATGATGCTACTTCTGATGATGCTACTGCTGATGATGATGTTACTGCTGATGATGCTACTGCTGATGATCATGTTACTGCTGATGATGCTACTGCTGATGATGATGCTACTGCTGATGATGATGCTACCGCTGATGATGATGTTACTGCTGATGATCATGTTACTGCTGATGATGCTACTGCTGATGATGATGCTACTGCTGATGATCATGTTACTGCTGATGATGATGCTACTGCGGATGATGATGCTACTGCTGATGATGCTACTGCTGATGATGATGTTACTGCTGATGATCATGTTACTGCTGATGATGATGCTACTGCTGATGATGATCCTACTGCTGATGATGATGCTACTGCTGCTGATGATGCTACTGCTGATGATGATGTTACTGCTGCTGATGATGCTACTGCTGATGATGATTCTACTGCTGATGATGATGTTACTTCTGATGATGACGCTACTGCTGATGATCATGTTACTGCTGATGATGCTACTGCTGATGATCATGTTACTGCTAATGATGATGCTACCGCTGATGATGATGTTACTGCTGCTGATGATGATGTTACTGCTGATGATGATGCTACTGCTGATGATCATGTTACTGCTGATGATGCTACTGCTGATGATGATGTTACTGCTGCTGATGATGCTACTGCTGATGATGCTACTGATGATGATGATGATACTGCTGATGATGCTACTGCTGATGATGATGTTACTGCTGATGATCATGCTACTGCGGATGATGATGCTACTGCTGATGATGCTACCGCTGATGATGATCCTACTGCTGCTGATGATGCTACCGCTGATGATGATGTTACTGCTGATGATGATGTTACTGCTGATGATGATGCTACTGCTAATGATGATGTTACTGATGATGATGATGATGCTACTGATGATGATGATGATGTTACTGCTGATGATGATGTTACTGCTGATGATGATCATGTTACTGCTGATGATGCTACTGCTGATGATGATACTACTGCTGATGATGATGATGTTACTGCTGCTGCTGATGTTACTGCTGATGATGATGTTACTGCTGATGATGTTGCTACTGCTGATGATGATGTTACTGCTGATGATGATGTTACTGCTGATGATGATGCTACTGCTGATGATGATGCTACCGCTGCTGATGATGCTACCGCTGATGATGATGTTACCGCTGATGATGATGTTACTGCTGATGATGATGCTACTGCTGATGATGATGTTACTGCTGATGATGATGTTACTGCTGATGATGATGCTACCGCTGATGATGATGTTACTGCTGATGATGATGCTACTGCTGATGATGATGTTACTGCTGCTGATGATGCTACTGCTGATGATGATGCTACCGCTGATGATGATGCTACCGCTGCTGATGATGCTACTGCTGATGATGATGCTACTGCTGATGATGATGTTACTGCTGATGATGATGCTACTGCTGATGATGATGTTACTGATGATGATGCTACTGCTGATGATGATGCTACTGCTGATGATGATGTTACTGCTGCTGATGATGTTACTGCTGATGATGATGTTACTGCTGCTGATGATGATGCTACTGATGATGATGATGTTACTGCTGATGATGATGATACTGATGATGATGATGTTACTGCTGATGATGATGCTACTGCTGATGATGATGTTACTGATGATGATGCTACTGCTGATGATGATGCTACTGCTGATGTTACTGCTGATGATGATGTTACTGCTGCTGATGATGATGATGCTACTGCCGCTGCAGCTGGGCTCATACTTTGGCGCGGCGCTCTGCGTGGGCGACGTGAACGGCGACTCCCTCTCGGACCTCCTTGTGGGCGCACCCTTCCACAGCGACCTCCGTGACGAGGGCCGCGTCTTCGTCTTCCTGAGCCGCGGGGGGGTGAGCCGGAACTCCCCACAGCTCTCATCACACAAATCACATCACACAGCATCACATCATACAACTCACATCACACAGCATCATACAACTCACATCACACAACTCACATCACGCAACTCACATCACACAACTCACATCACACAGCATCACACAACTCACATCACACAGGATCACACAACTCACATCACACAACTCACATCACACAACTCTCATCACACAACTCACATCACACAGCATCATACAGCTCTCATCACACAACTCACATCACACAGCATCACATCACACAACTCACATCACACAGCATCATACAACTCACATCACACAACTCACATCACGCAACTCACATCACACAACTCACATCACACAGCATCACACAACTCACATCACACAGGATCACACAACTCACATCACACAACTCACATCACACAACTCTCATCACACAACTCACATCACACAGCATCATACAGCTCTCATCACACAACTCACATCACACAACTCTCATCACACAACTCACATCACACAGCATCACACAACTCACATCACACAACTCACATCACACAACTCACATCACACAACTCACATCACACAACTCACATCACACGGCATCATACAGCTCTCATCACACAACTCACATCACACAACTCTCATCACACAACTCACATCACACAACTCACATCATACAACTCACATCACACAACTCATATCACACAACTCACATCACACAACTCACATCACACAACTCTCATCACACAACTCACATCACACAACTCACATCACACAACTCACATCACACAGCTCTCATCACACAACTCACATCACACAGCATCACACAACTCACATTACACAACTCACATCACACAGCATCACATCACACAACTCACATCACACAACTTACATCACACAACTAACATCACACAACTCTCATCACACAACTCACATCACACAACTCACATCACACAGCTCTCATCACAGAACTCACATCACACAACTCACATCATACAACTCACATCACACAGCATCATACAACTCACATCACACAACTCACATCACGCAACTCACATCACACAACTCACATCACACAGCATCACACAACTCACATCACACAGGATCACACAACTCACATCACACAACTCACATCACACAACTCTCATCACACAACTCACATCACACAGCATCATACAGCTCTCATCACACAACTCACATCACACAACTCTCATCACACAACTCACATCACACAGCATCATACAACTCACATCACACAACTCACATCACACAACTCACATCACACAACTCACATCATACAACTCACATCACACAACTCACATCACACAACTCACATCACACAACTCACATTACACAACTCTCATCACACAACTCACATCACACAACTCACATCACACAGCTCTCATCACACAACTCACATCACACAGCATCACACAACTCACATTACACAACTCACATCACACAGCATCACATCACACAACTCACATCACACAACTTACATCACACAACTAACATCACACAACTCTCATCACACAACTCACATCACACAACTCACATCACACAACTCACATCACACAGCATCACATCACACAGCATCACATCACACAGCATCACACAACTCACATCACACAGCATCACATCACACAGCATCACACAACTCACATCACACAACTCACATCACACAACTCACATCACACAACTCACATCACACAGCATCACATCACACAGCTCACATCACACAACTCACATCACACAACTCACATCACACAACTCACATCACACAGCATCACACAACTCACATCACACAACTCACATCACACAGCATCACACAGCATCACATCACACAACTCACATCACACAACTCACATCACACAGCATCACATCACACAACTCACATCACACAACTCACATCACACAACTCACATCACACAACTCACATCACACAACTCTCATCACACAACTCACATCACACAGTGTCTCTCTATCCCCGTGTCCCCGTGTCCCCGTGTCTCTCTATCCCCGTGTCTCCGTGTCTCCGTGTCTCCATGTTCTCCATGTCTCTCTATCCCCGTGTCTCCGTGTGCCCGTGTCTCCATGTTCTCCATGTCTCTCAATCCCCGTGTCCCCGTGTCTCTGTGTCTCCATGTCTCTATATCCCTGTGTCTCTATATCCTTGTGTCTCCATCTCCCCGTGTTTCCATGTTCTCCATGTCTCCATGTCCCCATGTCTCTAAATCCCCGTGTCTCCATCTCCCCGTGTCCCCGTGTCTCCGTGTCTCTATGTCCCCATGTCTCTAAATCCCCGTGTCTCCATCTCCCCGTGTCCCCGTGTCTCTGTGTCTCCATGTCTCCATGTCTCTAAATCCCCGTGTCTCCATCTCCCCGTGTCCCCGTGTCTCCGTGTCTCCATGTCTCTAAATCCCCGTGTCTCTATATCCCTGTGTCTCCATCTCCATGTGTCTCCATCTCCCCGTGTCTCCATGTTCTCCATGTCTCCATGTCCCCGTGTCTCCGTGTCCCCGTGTCCCCGTGTCTCCGTGTGCCCGTGTCTCCGTGTGCCCGTGTCTCCGTGTACCCGTGTCTCCGTGTGCCCGTGTCTCTGTGTCCCCGTGTCTCCGTGTCCCCGTGTCTCCGTGTCCCCGTGTCTCCGTGTCCCCGTGTCTCTGTGTCCCCGTGTCTCTGTGTCCCCGTGTCTCCGTGTCCCCGTGTCCCCGTGTCTCCGTGTGCCCGTGTCTCCGTGTGCCCGTGTCTCCGTGTGCCTGTGTCTCCGTGTATTCATGTGCCCGTGTCTCCGTGTCCCCATGTCTCCATGTCCCCGTGTCTCCGTGTGCCCGTGTCTCCGTGCGCAGGGTGCGATGCTGGAGATGCCCACGCCGCTGCAGGGAGACAACGCCTACAACGCTCGCTTCGGGGAGGCGATGGTAAACCTGGGGGACCTGGACCACGACCACTACCCCGGTACAACCCCCCACCCGCCCCCCACCCACCCGGGTCCCAGACACCCCCAAGACCACGGATGCGACTGCAGCGTCTCGACCGCCCTGGCTTGGTTCCCTGAGCTCCACCCGGCCACCACGAAACCCTCCCTCTGTGTCTGTGCTGTCGTACTCCTCACGACTGAGCGCCCTTCGTGATGCGTCAGCGTGCTGGATCCTCCTGCTGTGATCGCGTTGTAGCTGCTGCTGCTGTAGCTCTAGATGCGGCAGCTGCTGCTGTAGCTGCTGTAGCTATAGATGTGGCAGCTGCTGCTTCTGTAGCTGCTATAACTCTAGATGGGGCAGCTGCTGCTGTAGCTGCTATAGCTCTAGATGCGGTAGCTGCTGCTGTAGCTGCTGTAGCTATAGATGTGGCAGCTGCTGCTGTAGCTGCTATAGCTCTAGATGGGGCAGCTGCTGCTGTAGCTGCTATAGCTCTAGATGGGGCAGCTGCTGCTGCTGTAGCTGCTATAGCTCTAGATTGGGCAGCTGCTGCTGTAGCTGCTATAGCTCTAGATGCGGCAGCTGCTGCTGTAGCTGCTATAGCTCTAGATGCGGCAGCTGCTGCTGTAGCTGCTATAGCTCTAGATGGGGCAGCTGCTGCTGCTGTAGCTGCTATAGCTCTAGATGCGGCAGCTGCTGCTGTAGCTGCTATAGCTCTAGATGCGGCAGCTGCTGCTGTAGCTGCTGTAGCTATAGATGTGGCAGCTGCTGCTTCTGTAGCTGCTATAACTCTAGATGGGGCAGCTGCTGCTGTAGCTGCTATAGCTCTAGATGCGGCAGCTGCTGCTGTAGCTGCTATAGCTCTAGATGCGGCAGCTGCTGCTGTAGCTGCTGCTGATGTAGCTGCTGTAGCTGCTGCTGTTGTTACCCATCCGACAATGTCACCCAAATCCGGAAGAACGCTGCTGCTGTGCGAACACAGGGACTAGGTTCGTGCAGTGGTGGTGTAGCGTTATTGTTGCTGTTGTTGCTGTTGTTTTTGTTCGCTATATTTAAGTCTTTCAAAGTTGGCCTCTCTAAACCGGCCTTCATGCCCCCGCTGGTTCTGCTTATTCCCCCTGCGGCCTTCCGTACAAGGTGGTGGCGCATTGGTGGGGATCCTACGGATGAAATGCCCCGCTTTACAGAGATGTAAATTACTATTGTTGTTGTTGTTCATATTCTTAGCTCTTCCGGTAAAGTCACGTTGAAGGGAAACAATAAAAGAATAAAATATATAAAACAATAAAAATTCTCACGACGTTTCGACCATAACGCAAACGGTCATCATTTGTATATATTTTATTATTTTATTGTTTCCCTTCAACGTGACTTTACCGAAAGAGCTAAGAATATGAATTACTGCAGTCACGAAAGCTTTAAATCAAAATTTGTTGTTGTTGTTGTGTTATTGTCGTGTTGTAGGATTGTTGTGTTGTTGCTGTACCCCAGTTGTATTCATACCGTGTCAACCCATACGGTTTATGACCCCGTCTTCTTGTACGGGGAAATTTAGTTTTCAGGTACATACGGCATACAGCCGTTTCAATGCGGGCAACAAAAGGCATTGTGTGTTCGTTTGTGTTTCTCGCTTGTGATGGGACTTTGTAGGATGAGCGTTAAGATTTATAGGGGGCACGGGGTGACCGATACGGTCTGAGTTGGTGTGTAAAAAAGCTAGGGGCACTGATCAGGGGTTGTGTGTGTTGAAGTGTTGTTATTGTGGTGTTTTTTTTTAAAGTAGGAGTGTCGTGTTGTTGTTCTTTTTGTGCTGCTGTTCTTGTGTTGTTGTAAAAGTGTTGTTGTTGTTGTTGTTGTGCTGTTGCTGTTGTTGTGGATGGTAGAGTTTGCGATCGGAGCGCCTAACGAGGACGACAACGGCGGGGCGGTGTACGTGTACCACGGCAGCGCGCACGGCATCGCCGCCAAGTACTCGCAGGTACGCAACAAAGACAAAGATCCCCCGTGTAGCCTCAACAGACTGTTGGGGCAAGTGCTGTTAGCGAGCAGCACCGGCGATGAAGGCCGGCACTGTGCCACACGACGGGGGTGGGTGGCCAACACCGCGTCCGGCCGCCTTTGTCTCCCCAGTGACGATGTTCACACACCGCACCAGTTACTCGTTTGGGGCTGAGCCGACCTAGGGGAGGCCCAGATCATCGTCACTGGGGTTGCTCGTGAGCAGGAATCGAGCCCGGATCGCCGGGTTTGTAGCGCAGAGCGCCAACCGCTACGACCACCACTCCACACGCACGAACGTGCACACGCACGCACACACGCGCGTACGTACGCAAATACGCAACGGGCCGCCACCACCACGCCGCCCCATCTCCCGCTCTGTGCCCCGTCTCTGGTTGTGCTGCGTCGTCGCAACAGAGGATCAGCGGTCGAGGCATCCACCCCTCCCTGCGGATGTTCGGCCAGTCCCTGGCGGGTGGACTCGACCTGGATGACAACGGCTTCGCAGGTGACGCTGTGTGTGGGTGCTCGTGTGTGTGTGTGCGTGTGTGTACGTGTGTGTGTACGTGTGTGTACGTGTGTGTGTACGTGTGTGTGTACGTGTGTGTGTGCGTGTCTGTATGTGTGTGTGCGTGTGTACGTATATGTGTAGGGGAGCGGTAGTGTAGTGGTTAGTGCGCTGCGCTATGAACCCCGGCGACCCAGGTTCGATTCCCGCTCACGGCCAACACCAGTGACGATTATCTGAACCGGTCCTGGACCTCCCCTAGGTCAACTTAGACTCAATACATATCTTGTGCGGTGTTGGGGAGACAAAGGCGGCCCAGGCGTGGTGCTGGTGACACCACCCACTCGTGTGCCGTACTGGCCGTCATCGGTGCTGCTCGCTAACAACACTTTCCCTCACAGTCTGTTAAGGCTATATGGGGAGCGTGGGGGGGGGGGGAGAATCTTTATCTGTGTGAGCAACGTGATCATCGCCTGCAGCTGCTTTGTCCACATCTGGGACAAGTAGTTGCCCTCCAAGCTCCCCGCATTTATACGCAAGCGTGTGTGCAAAAAGCCACTGCGAGTGGCCACGTGGAATGTTCGAACGCTAGCTACGGAGGAGAGGCTGCCACTTTGTCGAGAGCTGGACCGGTACCGCCTGGATCTCTGCGGTATTCAGGAGGTCCGGTGGACCGGCTCTGGTTCCAATCACCATGAGGGGTGGACAGTCCTCTACTCGGGGCAGGAGACTGCCAAACAACAGGGAGTGGCTCTTCTTCTGAATAAAAGAATGAAGGGGGCGCCGGAGCATGGCGGTGAGGTGTGGGAAGCTGTAAGCCCAAGGCTATTATGGGCTCGCATTCCCATCAACCAAAGGCAAGTAGTGGTGGTGGTGGTGGTTGTTATTTATGCCCCCACCGAAGATGAACATCAATGGTGGGATGCAGGCAAGGCCGCCTATGACCTACTGTCACAGGTGCTGGCTAAAGTGGCCCCTCGGGATAGAGTCATCTTGTTGGGTGAATTTAATGCTTGAGTGAGTCATGATGCTGGAACCTGGGTTGGAGTGATTGGAAGGCATAGGCCAGATCAGTTCAATAACAATGATAGGAGGCTGCTAGAATTCTGTGCAGCCCATGGGCTTGTAATTACCAACACGCTGTTTCGGCTTCGGCGCATCCATGCAACATTGTGGATGCATGCTGCATCCAAGCATGGACATCTGCTGGACTATATGATAACGGAACAGTGGATGCGGGCCCATGTCCTTGACACCAGGAACTACCGTGGAGCTGATCTACCCACTGAATATCGCCTTGTCATCTGTAAGATGCGCCTGCCATTCTTCCACTCTGGTGGTGGATGTACACGCACGATCCCATTCAAACCCACAGTGGCCTGGTCTCAACTAGCTGGTAAAAGTTGCAAGCTAGAATTCCATCATCACTTGCAGCTGCTTTTGGTACATGGTCCAGAACTCCCCAGATACCCTGGCAGACGGAGGAGGTGTTCCAGCTGGCTGAGAAAAAGCGACAGACCGTGTACAGCATCCCACGTTGGAGAATGAGGAGGCTTACCACACCTTTCGCTCGGAGGCTTGGAGAGCCGTGCGGCGCGGTAAGGATGGGTGGTGGTCGAGGTTTGCTGAGGAGATGGAGGCTGCTTCAGCAGCCCGCGATCACAAATCAATATTTAACTCCATCAAAAAGTAACTTGCAGTGCCACACCTATCACCATCATGAGGAGAAAGAAAGGTGATCTGATCTCCGACCCCCAGGAACAGGTTTGCAGATTGGCTGAGCATTTCTGTGAGGTCTTGGGGGAGGGGAAACCCCTCAGCATGGAAAACATCATGTGGCAAAGTGGAGATGACCCTGCTGAGGCTGCAGTGCCTCAAATATTGGAAGAAGTAGTCACCCCCTGGAGTGGCTGGCTGAAGTGACATCTGTTGAGGAAGTACAGAAGGCGATCCAGAGTCTGAAACCAGGAAAAGCACTAAAACGAAATGCTGAGGGAGTGTGGCGTCTGGACCACTGGACGGGTTCCCTGGGATTGGAAGGATGCCCTGGTGGTCCCCCTCTTTAAGAAGGGGGACCACAGAGACTGTAACAACTATAGCGGTTCTCACTCCTCAGTGTGTCGGGAAAGGTCCTTAGAAAGGATTATTCAACATCGCCTTGCTAGGTACGCCGAGGAGAGGCTTGCTGAGCCCCAATGTGGTTTCAGGCCAGGGTGGTCCTGCACAGATGCCATATTTTCTGTCCGTTTGTTACAGCAGGGGTGTGGGGAATTCCAACAAGACCTTCATCTTAGCTATATTGGCTCTGGTTTGTTTTCTTTGTGCTTTCAGAGTCTCTGCTCACAATAATTCAGGACCTTCAAGATGGTACAGCTACGTGGCTGGGAGTCGGAGCCAATCCCTGTTCACCTTGGGGTGCGACAGGGATGTTCCTCTGGCTCCAACATTATTTAACATCTTTTTCCACCACGTAGTTTGTGAAGCCTTCTATGGCTGTACTGGAGGAATCTCCATCTGGTACAGAAACAATGGGAGGCTGATCGATGCCTGGGTGCGGTTAAGGAATGGCTTCCTATTGGTCAACCATGTTATGCATGCTGATGATCTGGACCTTACCATCAGCCCCACCAAAATCAAGCCCCTGCGTGGGTATGTTGTGCCATCAAACACTCCACCCCCACAATCCCCTTTGGTGATGGGGCAGTTCTGGAGAGAGTGGAGAGTTTTCCATACCTGGGCTCTGTGCTTATAACCGGCTCCGGTTTTACAATAGAAGTCTCACTCTGAATCAGTCAAGCAGCAATATCTTCTCATCGGCCGTGTAATGCTGCGTTGAAGCTACCCAGTTTGTTGCTCAGCATGAACCTTTGGGTCTTCTCGGCCATGGTCAAGCACTCCCTTCTCTATGCTTGCAAAAAGTGGACCCCCCTAATGAAACATCTTCGCTGGTTAGAACATTTCGGCTGGCCTGTTTACGATCCATCCTGGGATTAATCAGGCTGAATTGTGTGAGCTCACAAATTACTGAAAGATCTGGACAAAATCCCACCGGTGAGCTCCTCCAGCAGGCAAGGCTGCCCAATCACCGCATGCCCAAACAGCTTTTGTTCGACCGGATAGAGATGGCTAAATGGGCGTTGCCCGAGCTAGAGAAGAGATGGAGTGATGTGGTACAGGAGGACGTGGAGCTGAGTGGACTTGCCGATGACTGGTACCAGCGGTGTCAAGATCGGCCTCTGTGGAGGAGGCTCGTGGAGCTGAGTGGACTTGCCGATGACTGGTACCAGCGGTGTCAAGATCGGCCTCTGTGGAGGAGGCTCGTGAAGGACGCTACTGGGCAGTTGGAGGCAGTCGCCCTCCAACAACAACGGAGGGCCGAGGAGCGACGCTTACAACACAGCAAGTTGGCATAGTAGGGGGGCACAGGTGGTGCTTCGGCCAGTCATCTCAGTCAGTCAACCCATGGCACCTGGGTCTGTCCCGTGACCTTCCATTGGGCGTTCGACACTACACGTGGCCTTAAAGTGCACATGGCCTGGCACAGGCGCTGTGGTGACGTCACCACCACTGTTGTTGTTGTTGTTGATGAGCGTGTGCTGGCGATTTTCGTGGGTGGCTCACATCTGTTTCTAAAAATATCGTTGTCTCTGCAGACCTCGCGGTCGGAGCCTACGGTTCAAATGCAGCCGTGCTGATCAGGTAAACAGCCTGGCCTTGACCCTCCCCTGACCTGGCATGACCTTGACCAGACCTGGCATGACACGACATGACCTGGTATGACCCTGACCTAGCATGGCACTGACCTGGCATGAACCTGCTCTGACCTGGCATGTCCCTGACCTGAGTTCAACACGCAAACACATGACCCTGGACTGGCCTTGTATGACGCTGACAAAACCTGACCAACGTGTGATCGTGTCCCTCCCCCCCCGTGTCCCCCCCCCGTGTCCCCCCCCCCCGTGTCCCCCCCCCCCGTGTCCCCCCGTGTCCACCCCCCGTGTCCACCCCGTGTCCCCCCCGTATCCACCCCCCGTGTCCACCCCCCATGTCCACCCCGTGTCCACCCCCCGTATCCACCCCCCGTGTCCCCTCCGTGTCCACCCCGTGTGTCCCCCCCCCCGTGTCCACCCCGTGTCCACCCCCCCCCGTGTCTTCCCCAGGGCTCGTCCCGTGGTGGACGTCTCGGCGTCCGTGGTGCTGCCGCGAGGGATCAACGTGACGGGCCCTGGGTGCGGCCGTGGGGGCCGTGGGGCCCACTGCTTCACGGCCTCCGTCTGCCTCTCCTACTCGGGGCCCGGGCTCACGCGCAGCCTCGGCAAGGACCACCTCAGACGCGGCACTCACCACGACACTCACCACGACACTCACCACGGCACTCACCACGGCACTCACCATGACACTCACCACCACACTCACCACCACACTCATCACGACACTCACCACGACACTCACCACCACACTCACCACCACACTCACCACTACACTCACCACCACACTCACCACCACCACACTCACCACCACCACACTCACCACTACACTCACCACGGCGCTCACCACGACACTCACCACGACACTCACCACCACCACACTCACCACTACACTCACCACGACGCTCACCACGACACTCACCACGACACTCACCACCACACTCACCACGACACTCACCACGACACTCACCACCACACTCACCACGACATTCACCTCCACCACACTCACCACTACACTCACCACGACGCTCACCACGACACTCACCACGACACTCACCACGACACTCACCACGACACTCACCACCACCACACTCACCACTACACTCACCACGGCACTCACCACCACACTCACCACGGCACTCACCACGACACTCACCACGACACTCACCACCACACTCACCACGGCACTCACCACGACACTCACCACCACCACGACACTCACCACGACATTCACCACGACACTCACCACTACACTCACCACGACATTCACCACGACACTCACCACTACACTCACCACGGCACTCACCACGACACTCACCACTACACTCACCACGACCCTCACCACGACACTCACCACCACACTCACCACGGCACTCACCACGGCACTCACCACTACACTCACCACCACACTCACCACGGCACTCACCACTACACTCACCACGGCACTCACCACAGCACTCACCACGACACTCACCACGACACTCACCACGGCGCTCACCACGGCGCTCACCACGACACTCACCACTACACTCACCACGACACTCACCACGACACTCACCACTACACTCACCACGACACTCACCACTACACTCACCACGACACTCACCACGACACTCACCACCACACTCACCACGGTACTCACCACGGCACTCACCACTACACTCACCACCACACTCACCACGGCACTCACCACTACACTCACCACGGCACTCACCACGGCACTCACCACGACACTCACCACGACACTCACCACGACACTCACCACGACACTCGCCACTACACTCACCACGACACTCACCACTACACTCACCACGACACTCACCACGACACTCACCACGACACTCACCACCTCGCTCGCCCACTCACCATCTCACTCGCCCACTCACCATCTCACTCACCCACTCACCATCTCACTCACCCACTCACCATCTCGCTCGCCCACTCACCATGCCACTCACCCACTCACCATCTCACTCGCCCACTCACCATCTCACTCACCCACTCACCATCTTACTCACCCACTCACCATCTTACTCACCTACTCATCAACTCACTCACCCACTCACCATCTCACTCACCATCTAACTCACCCACTCATCATCTCACTCACCCACTCACCACCTTACTCACCCACTCACCATCTTACTCACCCACTCACCACCTTACTCAGCCACTCACCATCTTACTCACCCACTCACCACCTTACCCACTCACCATCTTACTCACCTACTCATCATCTCACTCACCCACTCACCATCTTTCTCACCCACTCACCATCTTACTCACCCACTCAACATCTCACTCACCCACTCACGATCTCACTCACCCACTCACCATCTTACTCACCCACTCACCATCTCACTCACCCACTCACAAGCTCACTCACCCACTCGTCATCCCACGCGTTCACTCCGTTGCGTGCAAGCGAGAGTCTATCGTGGCCTCTAGAGTTCCATGTTGTTGATGTTGTTGATGTTGATGTTGTTGATGTTGATGTTTTTGATGTTGTTGTTGATGTTGTTGATGTTTTTGATGTTGATGTTGTTGATGTTGTTGATGTTGTTGTTTAGACATGCGGTACGAGCTGATCGCCGACTCGGTGAAGCAGCACTCTGGCCTCCCCGTGCGGCTCTCGCTGGAGAGCGCCGAGGGAGCGAGCTCCGTGCCAGGCTCGGTGCGCCTCACCATCCATGAGCAGCGCTGCCTACAGCACGTGGCCTACGTGAAGGCGAGTGACTCACCGACTGAGTGACTCACCGACTGAGTGACTCACTGACTGAGTGACTTACCGACTGAGTGACTCACTGACTGAGTGACTCACCGACTGAGTGACTCACCGACTGAGTGACTCACCGACTGAGTGACTCACCGACTGAGTGACTCACCGACTGAGCGACTCACCGACTGAGCGACTCACCGACTGAACGACTCACCGACTGAGTGACTCACCGACTGAGTGACTCACCGACTGGCGAGTGACTCACCGACTGGCGAGTGACTCACCGACTGAGTGACTCACCGACTGAGTGACTCACCAACTGAGTGACTCACCGGGCGAGCGACTCACCGACTGAGTGACTCACCGACTGAGTGACTCACCGACTGAGTGACTCACCGACTGAGCGACTCACCGACTGGCGAGTGACTCACCGACTGAGTGACTCACCGACTGAGCGACTCACCGACTGAGCGACTCACCGACTGAGCGACTCACCGACTGAGCGACTCACCGACTGAGCGACTCACCGACTGGCGAGTGACTCACCGACTGAGTGACTCACCGACTGAGTGACTCACCGACTGAGTGACTCACCAACTGAGTGACTCACCGACTGGCGAGTGACTCACCGACTGAGTGACTCACCGACTGAGTGACTCACCGACTGAGCGACTCACCGACTGAGCGACCCACCGACTGAGAGACTCACCGACTGAGCGACTCACCGACTGAGCGACTCACCGACTGAGCGACTCACCGACTGAGCGACTCACCGACTGAGTGACTCACCGACTGGCGAGTGACTCACCGACTGAGCGACTCACCGACTGAGCGACTCACCAACTGAGTGACTCACCGACTGAGCGACTCACCGACTGAGCGACTCACCGACTGAGCGACTCACCGACTGGCGATTGACTCACCGACTGAGTGACTCACCGACTGAGTGACTCACCGACTGAGTGACTCATCGACTGAGTGACTCACCGACTGAGCGACTCACCGACTGAGCGACTCACCGACTGAGCGACTCACCGACTGGCGAGTGACTCACCGACTGAGTGACTCACCACCTGAGTGACTCACCGACTGAGCGACTCACCGACTGAATGACTCACCGACTGGCGAGTGACTCACCGACTGAGTGACTCACCGACTGAGTGACTCACCGACTGAGTGACTCATCGACTGAGTGACTCACCGACTTAGTGACTCACCGGGCGAGCGACTCACCGACTGAGTGACTCACCGACTGAGTGACTCACCGACTGAGTGACTCACCAACTGAGCGACTCACCGACTGGCGAGTGACTCACCGACTGAGTGACTCACCGACTGAGCGACTCACCGACTGAGCGACTCACCGACTGAGTGACTCACCGACTGAGCGACTCACCGACTGAGCGACTCACCGACTGGCGAGTGACTCACCGACTTAGTGACTCACCGACTGAGTGACTCACTGACTGGCGAGTGACTCACCGACTGAGTGACTCACCGACTGAGTGACTCACCGACTGAGCGACTCACCGACTGAGCGACTCACCGACTGAGTGACTCACCGACTGAGTGACTCACCGACTGAGCGACTCACCGACTGAGCGACTCACCGACTGAGTGACTTACCGACTTGGCGAGTGACTCACCGACTGAGCGACTCACCGACTGAGTGACTCACCAACTGAGTGACTCACCAACTGAGTGACTCACCGACTGGCGAGTGACTCACCGACTGAGTGACTCACCGACTGAGTGACTCACCGACTGAGCGACTCACCGACTGAGCGACTCACCGACTGGCGAGTGACTCACCGACTGAGTGACTCACCACCTGAGTGACTCACCGACTGAGCGACTCACCGACTGAATGACTCACCGACTGGCGAGTGACTCACCGACTGAGTGACTCACCAACTGAGTGACTCACCGACTGAGTGACTCATCGACTGAGTGACTCACCGACTGAGTGACTCATTGACTGAGCGAGTGACTCACCGACTGAGTGACTCACCGACTGAGTGACTCACCGACTGAGTGACTCACCGGGCGAGCGAATCACCGACTGAGTGACTCACCGACTGAGTGACTCACCGACTGAGCGACTCACCGACTGAGCGACTCACCGACTGAGCGACTCACCGACTGAGCGACTCACCGACTGAGCGACTCACCGACTGGTGAGTGACTCACCGACTGAGTGACTCACCGACTGAGTGACTCACCGACTGAGTGACTTACCGACTGGCGAGTGACTCACCGACTGAGTGACTCACCGACTGAGTGACTCACCGACTGAGTGACTCACCGACTGAGCGACTCACCGACTGAGCGACTCACCGACTGAGCGACTCACCGACTGAGCGACTCACCGACTGAGCGACTCACCGACTGAGCGACTCACCGACTGGCGAGTGACTCACCGACTGAGTGACTCACCACCTGAGTGACTCACCGACTGAGCGACTCACCGACTGAATGACTCACCGACTGGCGAGTGACTCACCGACTGAGTGACTCACCAACTGAGTGACTCACCGACTGAGTGACTCATCGACTGAGTGACTCACCGACTGAGTGACTCATTGACTGAGCGAGTGACTCACCGACTGAGTGACTCACCGACTGAGTGACTCACCGACTGAGTGACTCACCGGGCGAGCGACTCACCGACTGAGTGACTCACCGACTGAGTGACTCACCGACTGAGCGACTCACCGACTGAGCGACTCACCGACTGAGCGACTCACCGACTGAGCGACTCACCGACTGAGCGACTCACCGACTGGTGAGTGACTCACCGACTGAGTGACTCACCGACTGAGTGACTCACCGACTGAGTGACTCACCGACTGGCGAGTGACTCACCGACTGAGTGACTCACCGACTGAGTGACTCACCGACTGAGCGACTCACCGACTGAGCGACTCACCGACTGAGCGACTCACCGACTGAGTGACTCACCGACTGAGCGACTCACCGACTGAGCGACTCACCGACTGGCGAGTGACTCACCGACTGAGTGACTCACCACCTGAGTGACTCACCGACTGAGCGACTCACCGACTGAATGACTCACCGACTGGCGAGTGACTCATCGACTGAGTGACTCACCGACTGAGTGACTCACCGACTGAGTGACTCATTGACTGAGTGACTCACCGACTGAGTGACTCATTGACTGAGCGAGTGACTCACCGACTGAGTGACTCACCGACTGAGTAACTCACCGACTGAGTGACTCACCGGGCGAGCGACTCACCGACTGAGTGACTCACCGACTGAGTGACTCACCGACTGAGTGACTCACCGACTGAGCGACTCACCCACTGAGCGACTCACCGAATGGCGAGTGACTCACCGACTGAGTGACTCACCGACTGAGCGACTCACCGACTGGCGAGTGACTCACCGACTGAGTGACTCACCGACTAAGCGACTCACCGACTGAGCGACTCACCGACTGAGTGACTCACCGACTGAGCGACTCACCGACTGAGCGACTCACCGACTGGCGAGTGACTCACCGACTGAGTGACTCACCGACTGGCGAGTGACTCACCGACTGAGTGACTCACCGACTAAGCGACTCACCGACTGAGCGACTCACCGACTGAGTGACTCACCGACTGAGCGACTCACCGACTGAGCGACTCACCGACTGAGCAACTCACCGACTGAGCGACTCACCGACTGAGTGACTTACCGACTGAGTGACTCACCGACTGGCGAGTGACTCACCAACTGAGTGACTCACCGACTGAGCGACTCACTGACTGAGTGACTCACTAACTGAGTGGCTCACCGACTGGCGAGTGACTCACCGACTGAGTGACTCACCGACTGAGTGACTCACCGACTGAGTGACTCATCGACTGAGCGACTCACCGACTGAGCGACTCACCGACTGAGCGACTCACCGACTGGCGAGTGACTCACCGACTGAGTGACTCACCACCTGAGTGACTCACCGACTGAGCGACTCACCGACTGAGTGACTCACTGACTGGCGAGTGACTCACCGACTAAGTGACTCACCGACTGGCGAGTGACTCACCGACTGAGTGACTCATCGACTGAGTGACTCACCGACTGAGTGACTCACCGACTGAGTGACTCACCGACTGAGTGACTCACCGACTGAGCGACTCACTGCCTGAGTGACTCACCGACTGAGTGACTCACCGACTGAGTGACTCACCGACTGAGCGACTCACCGCCTGAGTGACTCACCGACTGAGTGACTCACCGACTGAGTGACTCACCGACTGAGCGACTCACCGACTGAGCGACTCATCGCCTGAGCGACTCACCGGGCGAGCGACTCACCGGGCGAGCGACTCTGCTGCTGCTGCGATGCCTCTCAAACCACCTGCCTAATCCTGAACCGAGCCAGATATCAACAACAACAACAACAACCGCCATTCGCCACGAAGTGGCGGCGATGTCAGCCGGGTGCCATGGGTTGACTGACGCAGATGACTTGTCGATGCACCACCTTTGCCCCCTACTGTGGCAACTCACCACTCCACCCACCTCGCCACTCACACGACAAACTTCACCTGTTTAACACCGAGTAGGTGTCGGCGACCAATGTTATTCATAATGAACGTGTTTTGGGTCAGATCGCGGAAGTATAAATGTGTCGTAACCCTCCATCGCCCGTCGTATTCAAATTGTAAATGTTGCGGATTTACTCTCCAACACCACGGTGGGCTGAAGTAGTACACTACACTATACACTACACACTAATATACACTATACACTAATATACACTATATACTACACACTAATATACACTATACACTACACACTAATATACACTACACACTAATATACACTACACACTACACACTAATATACACTACACACTAATATACACTATATACTACACACTAATATACACGATACACTACACACTAATATACACTACACACTACACACTAATATACACTATACACTACACACTAATATACACTATACACTACACACTAATATACACTATACACTAATATACACTACACACTAATATACACTCATACACACTACACACTAATATAGAGTATACACTACACACTAATATACACTAATATACACTAGACATTAATATAGAGTATGCACTACACACTAATATACACTACACACTAATATACACTAATATACACTAGACACTAATATAGAGTATACACTACACACTAATATACACTAATATACACTAGACACTAATATAGAGTATACACTACACACTAATATACACTGCACACTAATATACACTATACACTACACACTAATATACACTAATATACACTAGACACTAATATAGAGTATACACTACACACTAATATACACTATACACTACACTATACACTATACTAGTAACTAACTGGCGCGTTGTTTACGTGACAAACCTCAGTGGCTGTTTCTGGTGGTGGAGGGTTACGCCACATTCACACTTACTCCTTCACCTACACAGATGCCTGCCTGCCTGCCAACCTGCCACCTCTTTACTGACCCAGCCACCACGCGGCCGAGAGGTTTCCCGACAGAGCTACCCAGCCACCAACTCACCGCCCACCAGGACCATCCACTCGCCGCACAGCGGAGAACCCCGCGTCCTCGTCACGGCCGGGCAGCGGAATCCCCGAGTCGAACTCAGGGTTGTCATCGGCGTCGGCTCGGCGTCTCTCTGACCCTTGACCTCTCCGGCTTCCCCTCCGCCGCCCCCATCCGCTCCCTCCCACCCCCGCACGTCTCACAGGGGAAGGTGAACGACGTAGTTGCGCCCTTGGTGTTCGAAGTCCGCTACTCGCTGGCGCACGGCGAAACGGCGGAAGGCGAGCGGAGGGGCGCCAGCCGGAGGAGGAGGAGCGACTCCCCCGGGGGTGGCAACAACACTGGCAGCAGCGGCAGCAGCGGCGGCGGCGGCGGCGGCGGTGGTGGTGGTGACGATGATGACGATGACCTCCCCGCACTGCGACCTGTCATCAGATGGAGGGAGCGACACAGAGATTCGGCGAGAAGTGTGGTGAGGGAACCACAACATTCACCAATCGCTAATTCCTGTAGTCTCAGAGCCCAGATTACAAATCTGAGATTCTCAGATCCCAGAATCTGAAAGACTAAATTCACAAAACCCAGATGGTCAAAACTCAAATTCCTCCATCTAAAAAGCCCTATTTTCCAACATACGAGTCTCTCGAGAATTACATTGCCAAAACCCACATTTCCAAATCCCAGATTCCACAAGCTTTGGACTAATGCGGTACGGGAGGATGTGGAGCTAAGTGGTACCAGCGGTGTCAAGATCGGCCTCTGTGGAGGAGGAGGCTCGTGAAGGACGCTGCTGCTGGGCAGTTGGAGGCAGTCGCCCTTCAACAACAGCAGAGGGCAGAGGAGCGACGCTCACAACAACGAGCGGAGCGTCGGGCAGATACAAGGCAGCACGTTAGCCCCGGAGGGGGAACAGGCGGTGCGTCTGCCAGTTATCTCCGTCAACCCATGGCACCTGCTGGGTCTGTCCCGTGACCTGTCAGCGAGCCTTCAACACTTGGCCTCGGAGTGCACCTGGACTGGCACAAGCACCGCGGTGACGTCACTGCGGTTGTTGTTGTTGTCATGCATACGTGTGTCTGTGTGTGTGCGTGTGTCTGTGTGTGTGTGTCTGTGTGTGTGTGCGTGTGTCTGTTTGTGTGTCTGTGTGTCTGCGTGTGTCTGTGTGCGTGTGTCTCTGTCTGTGTGCGTGTGTCTGTGTGTGTCTGTCTGTGTGTGTGTCTGTGTGTGTCTGTGTGTGTAGACAAAGTTTGAGAGGAACTGTCACACAGACGTGTGCCCGGCTGACCTCAGAGTGAACGGGACCCTGGTCCTCCCCAGGTGCGTGCGTGGCACAGGGCACCGTCGCCCCCTCGCCCACGACAGCGACGTTTGATGACGCCGGTGGCGACAGCGACGGCCGCACCGGGGACCGCGGTGACGCGGGATTGCATCGTAGTCCGGACGATGAGGACCTTGCCGAGGGCGATGATGACGATGACGATGACGAGGATGGCGACAACGACGGTGATGACGATGATGACGACGATGGAGACGACAAAGATGGCGGCGATGATGACGATAATGTCAGTGGCGATGATGACGTCAATGATGATGACGACGGCAGTGGTGGCGGGCCATGTGTGTGCATCCGTGCGTGTGTCTGTGTGTGTGCGTCCGTGTGTGCGTCCGTGCGTGTGTCTGTGTGTGTGCGTCCGTGTGTGCGTCCGTGCGTGTGTCTGTGTGTGTGCGTCCGTGTGTGCGTCCGTGCGTGTGTCTGTGTGTGTGCGTCCGTGCGTGTGTCTGTGCGTGGGGAGCGGTAGTGTAGTAGCGGTAAGCGCTACGCTGCGCTATGAACCCGGCGACCTGGGTTCGATTCCCGCTCACGGTCAACAAATGAGTACCTGGTGTGGTGTGTAAACATCGCTACCGGGGAGACAAAGGCGGTCGGGCGTGGTGCTGGCCACCCACCCCCTCGTTTACCGTTCCGGCCTTCATAGGTGCTCGCTAACAGCACTTGCCCCTACAGTCTGTTAAGGCTACACGGGGGATCTTTGTTTTTGTGCGTGTGTGTCTGTGTGTGCGTGTGTGCGTGAGTGTGTGCGTCTCTGTGTGTGTGTGCATGCGTGTGTGTGTGCGTGCACGTGTGTCTGTGTGTGTGCATGTGTGTCTGTGTGTGTGTGTGCGCGCGTGTGTCTGTGTGTGCGCGTGTGTGTCTGTGTGTGTGTGTGCGTGTGTGTGTGTGCGCGCGTGTGTCTGTCTCTGTGTCTGTGTGTGTGCGTGTGTGTGTGTGTGCGTGTGTGTCTGTGTGTGTCTGTGTGTGTGTGTGCGTGTGTGTGTGCGGCGTGCGTGCCCGCAGGCTGCTGTCTGACCGCCCCTACCTGGTGGTGGGTGAGGTGCACTCCCTGCGCGTCAACCTGAGCCTGGGCAACGTGGGGGAGGACGCCTTCGACCCCACGCTGCGCATGCACTTCCACCGGGATCTCTTCCTCGTCAACGCCTGGGACACGGTGAGCCCGGTCTCCTCCTCCTCCTCGTCCTCCTCCTCATCGTCCTCCTCCTCGCCGCCGCTCTCGTCGTCTTCGGGCGTGATCTACCCACTGCTGGATGATTTATTTTGTTCGGGAAAAATTTACGTCGCGGTCACTGAGCGACAGGTGCCACGTCCCGACGCGTGTGAGTGTGTGTGTGAGTGTGTCTGTGTGTGTGTGTGTCTGTCTGTGTGTGTGTGTCTGTGTGTGTGTGTGTCTGTGTGTCTGTGTGTGTGTCTGTGTGTGTGTGTGTGTGTCTGCGTGTGTGTCTGTGTGTGTGTGTCTGTGTGTGTGTGTCTGTGTGTGTGTCTGTGTGTGTGTCTGTGTGTGTGTCTGTGTGTGTCTGTCTGTGTGTGTCTGTGTGTCTGTGTGTGTGTGTGTCTGTCTGTGTGCGTCTGTGTGTGTGTGTCTGTGTGTGTCTGTCTGTGTGTGTCTGTGTGTGTGTGTCTGTGTGTGTGTCTGTGTGTGTGTCTGTGTGTGGGGAGCGGTGGTGCAGCGGTCGGTGCTACGCAGCGCTACGAACCCGGCGACCCGAGTTCGATTCCCGTTGATGACCAACGGCGGTGAAGATTATCGGATCCGGTCCGGAGCCTTCCCTAGGCCGGCTCAGCCTCAAATGAGTAGTACCTGGTGCGGTGTGCAGTAAACATCGCCACTGGGGAGACAAAGGCGGCCGGGCGTGGTGTCGACCACCCACTCCCCTTGTGTGCCATGCCGGCCTTCATAGGTGCTACTCGTGAACAGCACTTGCCCCAACAGTCCGTTGAGGCTACACGGGGGATCTTTGTCTTTGTGTGCAGGAGGAGGAAAAGGCGCTGAGCTGTGAGGTGCTGGAGGGGAATTTGCTGCAGTGCAGCGTGGGGTTCCCCTTCCTCAAGTCTCACACCAAGGTGTGGGTCACGTGTGGTGTGGGTCACGTGTGGTGTGGGTCACGTGTGGTGTGTGATGTTGTGGTGTGTGACGGTGTGGTGTGTGACGGTGTGGTGTGTGATGGTGTAGTGTCTGACGGTGTGATGTTGTGGTGTGTGATGGTGTGGTGTGTGACGGTGTGGGGTGTGATGGTATAGTGTGTGATGGTGTGGTGTGTGACGGTGTGGTGTGTGACGGTGTGGTGTGTGACGGTGTGGTGTGTGATGGTGTGGTGTGTGATGGTGTGGTGTGTGATGGTGTGGTGTGTTACGGTGTGGTGTGTGACCGTGTGGTGTGTGACGGTGTGTGACGGTGTGGTGTGTGATGGTGTGGTGTGTGATGGTGTGGTGTGTGACGGTGTGGTGTGTGACGGTGTGGTGTGTGACGGTGTGGTGTGTGACGGTGTGGTGTGTGATGGTGTGGTGTGTGATGGTGTGGTGTGTGACGGTGTGGTGTGTGACGGTGTGGTGTGTGACGGTGTGGTGTGTGACGGTGTGGTGTGTGATGGTGTGGTGTGTGACGGGGTGGTGTGTGACGGTGTGGTGTGTGATGGTGTGGTGTGTGACGGTGTGGTGTGTGACGGTGTGGTGTGTGATGGTGTGGTGTATGATGGTGTGGTGTGTGACGGTGTGGTGTGTGACGGTGTGGTGTGTGACGGTGTGATGGTGTGGTGTGTGACGGTGTGGTGTGTGATGGTGTGGTGTGTGATGGTGTGGTGTGTGATGGTGTGGTGTGTGATGGTGTGCTGTGCCTCAGCGGGAAGTGAGCGTGCTGTTCGACAGCAGCCAGCTGAGTGGCGAGGACGATCTGCTCGAGTTCAGCGCTCAGATCACCAGGTGAGGTGGCGACACCGCCCCAGACACCCACGTGGTGCCCCACCACCCAGACAACCATGTGGTCTGCTATGAGTCTGCTATGAGTCTGTCTGCTATGAGTCTGTCTGCTATGAGTCTGCTATGAGTCTGCTATGAGTCTGTCTGCTATGAGTCTGCTATGAGTCTGCTATGAGTCTGTCTGCTGTGAGTCTGCTATGAGTCTGTCTGCTCTGAGTCTGTCTGCTATGAGTCTGCTATGAGTCTGCTATGAGTCTGTCTGCTATGAGTCTGTCTGCTATGAGTCTGCTATGAGTCTGTCTGCTATGAGTTTGCTATGAGTCTGTCTGCTACGAGTCTGCTACGAGTCTGCTACGAGTCTGCTATGAGTCTGCTATGAGTCTGTCTGCTATGAGTCTGTCTGCTATGAGTCTGTCTGCTACGAGTCTGCTACGAGTCTGCTATGAGTCTGCTATGAGTCTGTCTGCTATGAGTCTGCTATGAGTCTGTCTGCTATGAGTCTGCTATGAGTCTGTCTGCTATGAGTCTGTCTGCTATGAGTCTGCTACGAGTCTGTCTGCTATGAGTCTGCTATGAGTCTGTCTGCTATGAGTCTGCTATGAGTCTGCTATGAGTCTGTCTGCTATGAGTCTGTCTGCTATGAGTCTGCTACGAGTCTGTCTGCTATGAGTCTGCTATGAGTCTGTCTGCTATGAGTCTGCTATGAGTCTTCTACGAGTCTGTCTGCTATGAGTCTGTCTGCTATGAGTCTGCTATGAGTCTGTCTGCTACGAGTCTGTCTGCTATGAGTCTGCTATGAGTCTGCTATGAGTATGTCTGCTATGAGTCTGTCTGCTGTGAGTCTGCTATGAGTCTGTCTGCTATGAGTCTGCTATGAGTCTGCTATGAGTCTGTCTGCTATGAGTCTGTCTGCTATGAGTCTGCTATGAGTCTGCTATGAGTCTGTCTGCTATGAGTCTGCTATGAGTCTGCTATGAGTCTGTCTGCTATGAGTCTGTCTGCTATGAGTCTGCTATGAGTCTGCTACGAGTCTGTCTGCTATGAGTCTGTCTGCTATGAGTCTGTCTGCTATGAGTCTGCTATGAGTCTGCTACGAGTCTGTCTGCTATGAGTCTGTCTGCTATGAGTCTGCTATGAGTCTGCTATGAGTCTGCTACGAGTCTGTCTGCTACGAGTCTGTCTGCTATGAGTCTGCTATGAGTCTGTCTGCTATGAGTCTGTCTGCTATGAGTCTGCTATGAGTCTGCTATGAGTCTGTCTGCTATGAGTCTGCTATGAGTCTGCTATGAGTCTGTCTGCTATGAGTCTGCTATGAGTCTATCTGCTATGAGTCTGCTATGCCTCTGTTCTCTCCTCTTCTCAGTCAGAACATCGAGCACAACGAGACCCTGGACGACAACCAGGAGCTGCTGTCCATCCCCCTCCGCTACGAGGTGGACACCACCCTGCACGGGTCTGTGGACATCCGCGGAAGCTTCCTCACCGCACACCGCGTGTCTGTAGAGATCCGCGGAAGCTCCTTCACCGCACACCGCGTGTCTGTAGAGATCCGCGGAAGCTCCTTCACCGCACACCGCATGTCTGTAGACATCCGCGGAAGCTTCCTCACCGCACACCGCGTGTCTGTAGAGATCCGCGGAAGCTCCTTCACCGCACACCATGTGTCTGTAGAGATCCGCGGAAGCTCTCTCACCGCACACCGCGTGTCTGTAGAGATCCGCGGAAGCTCCCTCACCGCACACCGCGTGTCTGTAGACATCCGCGGAAGCGCCCTCAATACATCGACGTCCTCATGGTTATGATCCTGCTACAGCAGATGATGATGCTGATGCTGCTGATGATGCTGTTGATGTTGATGATGCTGCTGCTGCTGTTGATGGTGCTGATGATGAAGATGCTGCTGATGATGATGATGCTGATGATGCTGATGATGATGGTGCTGCTGATGATGCTGCTGATGATGCTCATGATGCTGATGATGATGCTGATGATGATGATAATAATGCTGCTGCTGCTGTGCGTGAGTGTAGCTCGGTGTCCCAGACGTCGATTCTGTACGGAGGCGACTTGTCAGACCGCGAGGCCGTAGCACTGCCCGGCCAGCCGTGTCACTTCCAGTGGCTCAACTTCACCTTCCAGGTGAGCCGCTCACCCTCACCTGGTGAGCAGGCTTCTTGTGACTCACCTGGGTGAGCCGACTCACCCTCACCTGGTGAGCTCACCTCTTGTAACTCACCTGGGTGAGTCGACTCACCCTCACCTGGTGAGCTGGCCTCTTGTGACTCACCTGGGTGAGTCGACTCACACTCACCTGGTGGGATCGTCTGGGTGTGGGCACCCGTGTCCCCGTGTCTCTATGTCCCTTTGACCCCGTGTCCCCCGTGTCCCCATGTCCCCACATCTCCCTGTCTCTGTATCGACGTCCCCCACGTGTGTACGTTGCATTCGGTCCGGCCACCGCCCCCACTCAGTCGAGGCGACCGTGGACGCGCCTCTGAAAGCGCCCGCCATGATGCAGCGGTGAGCGCCATCTTACCGCCGATGGCCAGCAGCAAACAGCGGCCGCTGCCGCGGGGAGGTCTCCCCCGCGTCCCCCCCCCCCCGTGACCCCCCCGTGACCCCCCCCGTGACCCCCCCCAGTGACCCCCCCCGTGACCCCCCCGTGACCCCATGCCCCCCGTGACCCCCCCGTGACCCCATGCCCCCCGTGGTCTCCCCCGTGTCTGGGCCCTCGCAGGCATTGAACCTGGGCCCTAGTCAGGCCCCTGGGGCCTTTCTCGAGGTGCTCATCCCGTCTCGCCTGCACCCCGAGGGGCCGCACGCCCTGCAGCTGCACGAGGTGCAGGTGAGGACAGCGGCAGCGGCGTTATCATCATCATCATCATCAGCAGCAGCAGCATCGTTGGTGTTGTTGTGTTGGGAGCATAATAACCATGATCAGTGCCAGCAGCAGCAGCACCAGCAGCACTATCATCAGTTTTAGAATCATCGTCATCATCATTGGCATCATCAGCAGCGTTATCATCATCATCATCATCGTCGTCAGCACCATCATCATTGTCTTCACGGAGAGTCTCCGAGATTGACGATCCCCGCGTCCCCTGCCCCCCGGCTGTGAAGGTGTCCCCGGGTGGGGGGTCGTGCCTGGGGCCGGCGCTGGGGGCCGTGTGCGTGACGCCCGAGCAGCACAGCGAGAGCGTCTACCAGCTGTTCAGCTTCTTCAGCAAGAGTGGGCGCAAGCTGCTGGTGAGTGTGTGTCAGTGTGTGTGTGTCAGTGTGTGTGTGTGTGTGTGTCAGTGTGTGTGTGTCGGTGTGTGTGTGTCAGTGTGTGTGTGTCGGTGTGTGTGTGTCAGTGTGTGTGTGTGTCAGTGTGTGTGTATCGGTGTGTGAGCGTCTACCAGCTGTTCAGCTTCTTCAGCAAGAGTGGCCGCAAGCTGCTGGTGAGTGTGCCTCGGTGTGTGTTGGTGTGTGTGTGTCAGTGTGTGTGTCAGTGTGTGTGTGTATCGGTGTGTGTGTATCGGTGTGTGTGTGTATCGGTGTGTGTGCGTCTACCAGCTGTTCAGCTTCTTCAGCAAGAGTGGGCGCAAGCTGCTGGTGAGTGTGCCTCGGTGTGTGTCAGTGTGTGTCAATGTGTGTGTGTCAGTGTGTGTGTGTGTGTCGGTGTGTGTGTGTCAGTGTGTGTCAGTGTGTGTGTGTGTCAGTGTGTGTGTGTCGGTGTGTGTGTGTCAGTGTGTGTGTGTCGGTGTGTGTGTGTCGGTGTGTGTGTGTCAGTGTGTGTGTGTCAGTGTGTGTGTGTCGGTGTGTGTGTCAGTGTGTGTGTGTCAGTGTGTGTGTGTCGGTGTGTGTGTGTCAGTGTGTGTGTGTGTCGGTGTGTGTCAGTGTGTGTGTGTGTGTCAGTGTGTGTGTGTCAGTGTGTGTGTGTATCGGTGTGTGTGTGTATCGGTGTGTGTGTATCGGTGTGTGTGTGTGTCGGTGTGTGTGTGTCAGTGTGTGTGTGTCAGTGTGTGTGTGTCAGTGTGTGTGTGTCTGTGTGATAGTGTAGCGGTTAGCGCGCTGCGCTATGAACCTGGCGACGCGGGTTCGATTCCCGCTCACGGCCGACACCAGTGACGATTATCTGAACCGGTCCTGGGCCTCCCCTAGGTCGACTCAGCCTCAAATGAGTACCTGGTGCGGTGTGTAAACATTGCCACTAGGGAGACAAAGGCGGTCGGGCGTGGTGCTGGCCACCCACCCCCTCGTGTACCGTTCCGGCCTTCATAGGTGCTCGCTAACAGCACTTGCCCCTACAGTCTGTTAAGGCTATATGGGGGATCTTTGTCTTTGTGTCTGTGTGTGTGTGTCAGTGTGTGTGTGTGTGTCGGCAAAACAACCCCCTACCCCCTCGCGGTGCCAGACGGGCAACTCTTTCGTGGACAGTGCTGTGGGGGGAGATCCAATTTTGATTGGCTCCTCCCCTCATGGCATATGTGTCCACCACAGGGGCTAAATGGGGGCTCTGGATGGGTGCGAGGGGCTCGTAACCCCTCCACCTTCAATTAATTACCACGAAACCACGAGTTAAACTGAAATATGCAACTAATAAGCTTGTGCCGGAGGCCCCGGGGGGCCAGGCGTCTATGACGTCTCCTGTCCAAACCCCAATTGGCGGAGCCAGGAGATTGAATATCCACCCTCGGGGCTCCTCCAGAAACAATGAAAAGCCACTACGGGTGGCCACGTGGAATGTTCGAACGCTCACTGCAGAGGAGAGGCTGCCACTCCTCTGTCGGGAGCTGGACCGGTACCGCCTGGATCTATGCGGCATTCAGGAGGTCCGGTGGACCGGCTCTGGCTCCTGCCACCATGAGGGGTGGACAGTCCTCTACTCGGGGCAGCAGACTGCCAAACAACAGGGTGTGGCTCTTCTTTTGAACAAAAGAATGAAGGGGGCGTGGGAGTGTGGCGGTGAGGTGTGGGAAGCTGTAAGCCCCAGGCTACTTTGGGCTCGCCTTCCCATCAACCGGAGGCGAGGAATGGTGGTCGTGGTTACTTATGCCCCCACCGAAGATGAACATCCGTGGAGGGATGCAGGCAAAGCCGATGAGTCAGATGCCTTCTATGACCTCCTGTCACAGGTGCTGACTAAAGTGGCCCCTCGGGATAGAGTCATCATGTTGGGTAACTTCAATGCCCGAGTTGGTCATGATACTGGCACCTGGTCTGGAGTGATTGGAGGGCATGGGCCAGATCAGCTCAATAACAACGGTAGGAGGCTGCTAGATTTTTGTGCAGCCCATGGGCTTGTAATTACCAACACGCTGTTCCGGCATCGGCGCATCCACACAACATCATGGATGCATGCCGGGTCCAAGCAAGAACATCTGCTGGACTACATAGTGACGGACCAGCGGATGCGAGCCCATGTCCTTGACACCAGGACCTACCGTGGAGCTGATCTGCCCTCTGACCATCGACTAGTCATCTGTAAGATGCGCCTGCCATTCTTCCACTCCGGTGGTGGGTGTACACCCGGACCCCATTCCGACCTAAAGTGGCCTGGTCTCAGTTATCTGATGAAAGTTGCACGCGAGAATTTCATCATCGCTTGCGGCTGGGATTAGCATCGTCCCCGACTCCTCCTGATGTCGAGGGTAAATGGGCGAGGTTTAGGACTGTGACTCATGCAGCTGCAATGGCTGCTTTGGGTACGCGGTCCAGACCTCCCCAGAGACCCTGGCTGACAGAGGAGGTGTTCAGGATGGTTGAGAAAAAGCGACAGGCCCACTGTCATCGGCTACAGAATCCCACGTCAGAGAATGAGGAGGCTTACCGCAGCCTTCGCTCGGAGGTTCGGAGAGCCGTGAGGCACTGCAAGGATGGGTGGTGGTCGCGGGTTGCTGAGGAGATGGAGTCTGCCTCAGTGGCCCGTGATCACAAATCTCTATTTAACTCCATCAAAAAAGTAACCTGCAGCGCCACACCTATTACCATCATTAGGGGAAAAAACGGTGATCCAATCTCCGACCCCCAGGAACAGGTTTGCAGGTTTGCTGAGCATTTCTGTGAGGTCCTGGGGGAGGGAAAATCCCTCAGCCAGGAAAACATCATGGCACAAAGTGAGGATGACCCTGCTGAGGCTGCGGTGCCTCAAATATTGGAAGAAGTCACCCCCTGTGAGTGGCTGGCTAAGGTGCCATCTGTTGAGGAAGTACTGAAGGCGATCCGGAGTCTGAGACCAGGAGAGGCAGCGGGCAGAGATGATCTCCCAAGCGAAATGCTGAGGGAGGGTGGCGTTTGTGCACAGACTGCCCTATATGACATCATAACAACAGTCTGGACCACTGGATGGGTTCCGCAGGATTGGAAGGATACCCTGGTGGTCCCCCTTTTTAAGAAGAAGAAGGGGGACCGCACAGACTGTAACAACTAGAGGGGCATCTCACTCCTCAGTGTGCCGGGAAAGGTCCTGGCAAGGATTATTCAGCATCGCCTTGCCAGGCACGCTGAGGAGAGGCTTGCGGAGCCCCAATGCGGTTTCAGGAAAGGGCGGTCCTGCACAGACGCCATATTTTCTGTCCGTCTGCTACAGCAGAGGTGTAGGGAATTCCAACAAGACCTACATCTCTGCTTTATTGACCTGGTCAAGGCCTGTGATACCATCAGTAGGCCTGGGCTCTGGGTCGTTCTTCGTGCTTTTGGAGTACCTGACCCTCTGCTCACGATCATTAAGGACCTTCATGATGGTGAGCGGGCCCGGGTAAAACTACGTGGCCGGGAGTCAGAGCCATTCCCTGTACACCTTGGGGTGCGACAGGGATGTCCTCTGGCTCCCACATTATTTAACATCTATTTTGACCACGTAGTTCGTGAAGCCTTCAATAGCTGTACTGGGGGAATCTCCATATGGTACAGATATAATGGGAGGCTGATCGATGCCCGGGTGCGGTCAAGGGATGGCTCCCTATTGCTCAACCACGTTATGTATGCTGATGATTTGGTAATAGCTGCTCAGTCAGAGGAGGAGTTGGAGACGCTGCTGCTGAGACTGGAGCGTGCCACTAAGAGGTGGGGCCTTACCATCAGCCCCACCAAAACTAAGCACCTGCGTGGGTATTTTGTACCATCGGACACTCCACCCCCACAACTCCCAATCGGTGATGGAGCAGTTGTGGAGAGAGTGGAGAGTTTCCCATACCTGGGCAGTGTGCTTATGACTGGCTCCAGTTTAACAGCAGAGGTCTCACTCCGAATCAGTCGAGCGGCAATATCTTTTCATCGGTTGCGTAACGCTGTGTGGAAGCTACCTGGTCTGTCGCTCTGCACTAAGCTTCAGGTCTTCTCGGCCACGGTCATTCCCTCCCTTCTCTACGCTTGCGAAACGTGGACCCCCCTAATGGAACATCTTCGCCGGTTAGAAACATTTAGGCTGGCCTGCCTACGATCCATCCTGGGTTTAACCAGACTGGATTGTGTGAGGAGCTCACAAATCCTTGAAAGATCTGGGCAAGGTCCCATCGGTGAGCTCCTCCGGCGGGCAAGGCTGCGATGGCTGGGTCATGTAGCCTGCATGCCCAGCCAACGCATGCCGAAACAGCTTTTGTTCGGCCGGATTGAGGGGGCTAAGCGGGCGCGGGCTGGAGAAGAGATGGAGTGATGTGGTACAGGAGGACGTGGAGCTGAGTGGACTTGCCAATGACTGGTACCAGCGGTGTCAAGATCGGCCTCTGTGGAGGAGGCTCGTGAAGGATGCTACTGGGCAGTTGGAGGCAGTCGCCCTCCAACAACAACGGAGGGCGGAGGAGCGACGCTCAGAACAACGAGCGGAACGCCGGGTGGCTAAAGCACAGCAGTTTGGCACAGTAGGGGGCACAGGTGGTGCATCAGCCAGTCATCTCAGTCAGTCGACCCGTGGCACCTGGGTCTGCCCCGTGACCTCCTGCCAGCGGGTGTTCGACACTTCACGTGGCCTCAGGGTGCACATAGCCTGGCACAAGCGTCGTGGTGACGTCACCGCCACTTAGTGGCGAATGGCGGTTGTTGTTGTTGTGTGTCGCTGCATTGTGGGTAGGACTGTGCGTCGTGGCCGGAGGGCTGTGTGGCGGTGTGTGTGTGTCAGTCTGTGTGTGTGTGTCAGTGTGTGTGTGTGTGTCAGTGTGTGTGTCAGTGTGTCAGTGTGTGTGTGTCACTGCATTGTGGGTAGGACTGTGCGTCGTGGCCGGAGGGCTGTGTGGCGGTGTGTGTGTGTCAGTCTGTGTGTGTGTGTCAGTGTGTGTCAGTGTGTGTGTGTGTGTCAGTGTGTGTGTCAGTGTGTCAGTGTGTGTGTGTCTCTGCATTGTGGCTAGGACTGTGCGTCGTGGCCGGAGGGATGTGTGGCGGTGTGTGTGTCAGTGTGTGTGTGTCAGTGTGTCAGTGTGTGTGTGTGTCAGTGTGTGTGTGTCAGTGTGTGTGTCGCTGCATTGTGGGTAGGACTGTGCGTCGTGGCCAGAGGGATGTGTGGCAGTGTGCGTGTGTCAGTCTGTGTGTGTGTCAGTGTGTGTGTGTGTCAGTGTGTGTGTGTCAGTCTGTGTGTGTGTGTCAGTGTGTGTGTGTCGGTGTGTGTGTGTCAGTGTGTGTCAGTGTGTGTGTGTCAGTGTGTGTGTCAGTGTGTGTGTGTCAGTGTGTCAGTGTGTGTGTGTCACTGCATTGTGGGTAGGACTGTGCGTCGTGGCCGGAGGGCTGTGTGGCGGTGTGTGTGTGTCGGTGTGTGTGTGTCAGTGTGTGTCAGTGTGTGTGTGTCAGTGTGTGTGTGTCAGTGTGTGTGTGTCAGTGTGTCAGTGTGTGTGTGTCACTGCATTGTGGGTAGGACTGTGCGTCGTGGCCGGAGGGCTGTGTGGCGGTGTGTGTGTGTGTCAGTGTGTGTGTGTGTGTCAGTGTGTGTGTGTCAGTGTGTGTGTGTCACTGCATCGTGGGTAGGACTGTGCGTCGTGGCCGGAGGGCTGTGTGGCGGTGTGTGTGTGTCGGTGTGTGTGTGTCAGTGTGTGTCAGTGTGTGTGTGTCAGTGTGTGTGTGTCACTGCATTGTGGGTAGGACTGTGCGTCGTGGCCGGAGGGCTGTGTGGCGGTGCGCTGCGAGCTGGGACCCTTCGCCCCGGGAGAGACGCCCAGCGTCAGCGTCAAGGCGCTGCTCAACACTGACATCTTGCAGCAGGTACCCCCCTCACCCCCACCCTGAACCCCCTCACACCCCCCTCACCCCCACCTTGAACCCCCCACATCCCCCCTCACCCCCACCCGGACCCCCTCACACCCCCCTCACCCCCACCCTGAACCCCCCACATCCCCCTCACCCCCACCTGAACCCCCTCACACCCCCCTCACCCCCACCCTGAACCCCCCACATCTCCCTCACCCCCACCCTGAACCCCCCACATCCCCCTCACCCCCACCCTGAACCCCCCACATCCCCCTCACCCCCACCTTGAACCCCCCACATCCCCCCTCACCCCCACCCGGACCCCCTCACACCCCCCTCACCCCCACCCTGAACCCCCCACATCCCCCTCACCCCCACCCGGACCCCCCACATCCCCCTTCACCCCCACCTGAACCCCCCCCTCCCACCACGTCCGGTACCCCCCCCCCCACGCCCAATCCCCCACCTGCCCCCCCCCCCCGAGTACCTGGCCCGCCTTGTAAGTTCGACGTTGGCAATGGGGGAGACAAAGGCGGGTGTGGCTGTGGCCCACGTGGACTACCCGGGGCGCCTGTGCCTGTGCAGGAGAGCTCCTCCGTGATCCAGTTCTCGGCGCGTGCCGAACTCCGCGTGCCGCACTCGGACCGAGTGGTGGAGCTCTCCACCGGCGCGCCGGGGACCATCGCGGTGAGACATCATCACCGCCGCCATCGTCACCATCACCGTCATCGTCACCATCACTGTCGTCACCACCATCACTGTCGTCACCATCACCGCCATCGTCACCATCACCGCCATCGTCATCACCACCGCTATCGTCACCATCACCATCACTGTCGTCACCATCACCGCCATCGTCACCATCACCGCCATCGTCACCATCACCGCCATCGTCACCATCACCGCCATCGACGGCATCACCGCTATCGTCACCATCACCGCTATCGTCACCATCACCGCCATCAACGCCATCACCACTATCATCACCATCACCGCCATCCCCACCATCAACACCATCACCACCACCATCATCACCACCACCATCATCACCATCACCACCACCACCATCATCACCATCACCACCACCATCATCACCATCACCGCCACAAACTCGCCGACCTTCCGACCACGAGCCGCCCGCTCCGCCGCTAAGCCGCCGTCAATTTTCCACGCGCGCGCTAAAGTCCGCGCACGCCACCAACGGCACGCGCTCCTGGGCCTCCCCTAGGTCGGCTCAGACTTAAACGAGTACCCGCTACAGCGTGCACGCATCGGCACCGCCACCCCCGCCGGTCGTGTGCCGTGCCGACCTCGACAGATGCCACCCGCCAAGACGGCACTTGCCCCGGCAGGCCGCGAGGCTACGCGTGGCGGGACCTTTGTCTTTGTGCCCGTGAGCAGGTGGTGTTCGAGGCTCTTCACGACCTCAGACCCCGCGGCTTCATCGCCGTCTGGATCATCGCCATCAGCCTCATCATCGGCCTCCTCATCCTCATCCTCCTCATCGTGCTGCTCTGGAAGGTCGGTGTCCGGCCAACCGTCCTCACCGGAACTTAAGATTCTTTAAAATCTTCTTCTTATTCCTCCTCCATCCGAGCGTACGTACGGATTTTGAACTTCTTTCGCGCTGTACGTAGCCAACCGCGCTAATCGGAGGTGCGGGGGGAAGGACAACAAACTAAACACAACAACGACAAACAACAACAAGGAGTTGTAAAGCAATGAGTTTGTCAATCTAGGTGATTATTTAAAAATGCACAGCTCCCTGCGGCTTTCCAAATATCGGAAGGAAGAGCGCGTTCCAGACGGCCGCAGAAGCGCAATCTGCGATGCGGGAGACCACCGTCTTTGCTCGACGTCTCGCCGCCGCCGCCGCCGCCGCGAGGATGAGCGGAGTCGACGTGACGATGGTTTTATGACTCCTCGGCGAGGTCGGCAGCGAGGGTGTCGTCGTGGTCGATTTGTGGCCCAGCGCTTTGCGTGTGCGGTGAGCGCGACCTCGTGACAACGCATTCGTCCGGCGACCGGTCTGCCTCTCTCCACGGCAGCGCCACGGCACTCTCTCGTGTGCCGCATACAGCGTTGCCCCCTCGCACGCCTGGGTTTTCCTCCGGCTGAGCCGGCTGCCTCGCACGCTTACAAACGGCTCATTAATTGGGCCGATGTCACCTTCATACGTAGAGGACCGCAGAGCTTGGGGGGGGGGGGGTTATCTGGTGGCCGATCTTCACCAAGTGGCTGCTGCTGCTGCTACCTTCCCACTCCTCATCTGCGGTTCCTCTTCCTGGCGTCTCTGAGTCGTCCACTCTCTATCTGAGTCGTCCACTCTCTATCTCTCTACGAGAGCGACGAGCAGATGCCGTGCGGTGGCAGCGTGGTGTTACAAGTTGACGTCGTTATCGTCGCCTTCGTCGTTATCGTTGCCGTCGTTATCATGCCCTGGGTGGCAACCTCTCGCCGCGTCTTCTCGGTGCCGCCCCATCTTCCTCTGCCCAGTCGAACTCTCACCGTCTGGAACCTTCTCTCCCGAAGGGAACCGTCAACATCCCCCACGTCGTGCGTTTACACAAAAAACGTCAAGCGAGGAGTTGAGCCCCGGTCTCGAAAACCTGGAGACTCCCGATCTGACTGACGCTGTGACCTCTCACCCCGGCCGCCCCCTTACCCTGGCCGCCCCCACCCCTCCACCCCTCCGCCCCCCCCACTCCTTCCCCTCCGCCCCCACTCCCCGTGTCTCCCCAAAGCTGGGATTCTTCAAGCGGAACCTCAAGGAGGAGCTGGAGATGCAGCGAGCTCGCAAGAAGAGCTGGGACTGGGTCAAGATGGCCGAGTAGATCTTGATGATAAGGTGGTGGTGGTTGTGGGGTGGGTGGGTGGGATGGGTGAGTGGGTGAGCGGGTGGGCGAGCGGGTCCAGTGGTTGTCCACCCACATCCTCACGGCCGCGCCGGGCCGATGAGTCGACGCAGGTCGGGTGATCGATTAGAAAATCTGTAATCGGCTGTCCCTCTTTTTGTGATTGATTATTGAGGAGGCCACCTAGGGTGGGGGGGGGGGGGCCTGGTTGCCACAACTCATCGCTCGGACGTGGACACAAAGCGGTGGTTTTGGGGCCGACGATTCGAGTCGTGCGCCAATTTCCGAGATCGGCGATTTGCCCGATCGCCCGGCTGTTGGCGGCGGCCGCCCCGGGAACCTTCCCAGGCTCCACGTTTGCTTGGCGCCTGGCAGAGGGGAGGGGGCGATGGCGAGGTGTCGGCGGCTCCGCTAGTCGTGCTGCTCTGGGTGAGTTCGTCCTCAATCGTGGGTGCCGTCGCCGTCCAGCTCCCGTTATCTGATTCCGAACCTTGGGTCGTTTAGGTTAATTAATTTAATCGCGCGGGATTCTTTTTTTTTTAAACCCTTATTTATGTTGTTGTTTTCGTTGCGAAGCTTCGGACTTGTTGCGCTTTCTGCCGTGAATGCCGTGGTCGCCGCGGTGCAGACACGGCGCCATGTCCACTCCCTGTCCACTCCCTGTCCACACCGCTCCGTGTCCACTCCATTCCGTGTCCATTCCTTGTCCACTCCCTGTCCACTCCACTCCCTGTCCACTCCGCTCCGTGTCCACTCCCTGTCCACTCCGCTCCACGTCCACCCCCTGTCCGCTCCGTGTCCACTCCACTCCGTGTCCACTCCGCTCCGTGTCCACTCCCTGTCCACTCCTTGTCCACTCCGCTCCGTGTCCACTCCGTGTCCACTCCCTGTCCACCCCGCTCCACGTCCACCCCCTGTCCGCTCCGTGTCCACTCCACTCCGTGTCCACTCCGCTCCGTGTCCACTCCCTGTCCACTCCTTGTCCACTCCGCTCCGTGTCCACTCCGTGTCCACTCCCTGTCCACTCCGCTCCGTGTCCACTCCCTGTCCACTCCCTGTCCACTCCGCTCCACGTCCACCCCCTGTCCGCTCCACGTCCACCCCCTGTCCGCTCCCTGTCCACTCCGCTCCGTGTCCACTCCCTGTCCACTCCTTGTCCACTCCGTGTCCACTCCGTGTCCACTCCTTGGCCACTCCGCTCCGTGTCCACTCCCTGTCCACTCCTTGTCCACTCCGCTCCATGTCCACTCCCTGTCCACTCCATTCCGTGTCCACTCCGCTCCGTATGCACTCCGTGTCCACTCCTTGTCCACTCCGCTCCTTGTCCACTCCATGTCCACTCTCTGTCAACTCCGCTCCATGTCCACTCCCTGTCCACTCCATTCCGTGTCCACTCCGCTCCGTATGCACTCCGTGTCCACTCCTTGTCTACTCCGCTCCTTGTCCACTCCATGTCCACTCCCTGTCCACTCCTTGTCCACTCCGCTCCGTATGCACTCCGTGTCCACTCCTTGTCCACTCCGCTCCTTGTCCACTCCATGTCCACTCCCTGTCCACTCCCTGTCTACTCCGCTCCGTGTCCACTCTCTGTCCACTCCCTATCCACTCCCTGTCCACCCCCTGTCCACTCCGCTCCACGTCCACTCCCTGTGCACTCCGCTCCACGTCCACTCCCTGTCCACCCCCTGTCCACTCCGCTCCACGTCCACTCCCTGTCAACGTCCACTCCGCGTGGCGACCTCGTCGTCCATTGGGCGCGATTCTTCTCCGCTCGTTTTCATTGTCTGCACCAATGTAAACATTTTCGCTCCCCCCGGGGGGATGAAACCTCGCGCGAGCAACGGAACGTAAAGCTCCCGGCCGTAGTTTAGCGTCGCCAGAGAAGAGTAGCCGTGACCCGTTAGTCGACAGCGCCCGGTGAAACGAAGCTCAATAAACGTAAACAAAGTTGTCGGGAATTAGCGCCGGTCCAGCAGCTCAGCAGCGGAGCTAGAGCGGGCTCACAAATCGTAAAAGCTCGCGGGTTCAACTCCTGGCCGTGTCCGCGCCGCATCAACCGCTGGGCAGTGGCAGCCGCGCGAGCACCCAATACCTCACCACCAGTGGTGCAAGCACAATGTGTAAATGTAGTATTTATGTTTGGGTGTGCGTGTGTGCACGTGTGTGTGCGTGTGTGTGTTTGCGTGTGTGTATTCGTGTGCATGTGCGTTTATAAGCGGGCTGTGTCTGTGTTTGTTTTATTCATTTATTTCATTCATTCACCACCACGCAGAGTCAGAGATGGACTGTTGCGCCCAACGTTTTTTTTATATATATAAACAATTAAAGACTTGGTTTCACTTATGCTCAATGCCGATGTCTCAGCTGCAATTCATTACTGTGGCGGTGGGCTGACTGCATCGTCTTCTTGAATTAAATCTAGAAACTTGTTTTCATTTTGCCAGCTAAAGGCCCACTGAGCTGCACGACTCTCTTTTTACATGCGACCTGGCAAATGACGAATGAAAGCTCAACGAAGTGGGCTTATCGTCACGTGGACACTAAGAGCATCGAAATACTCTTAACACGCGTGACGTTGCTTCTGTGTGGAGGGAAAAACCAGAGGACCCGGAGAAAAATCCACGCGACCACGGGGAGAGAGAAACGCAAACCCCAAATATACAGCAGCAGTCATCACGTTCGGAATCGAACCCACGACCTCCTGCATACCAGGCGAGGTAGTTAACATCTCGCCAGCTATAAGTTTAAATCTAGGTGGTTGATGAGCCAGATGAATGTGTCAGGAGTAGCGGAGAGGGGAATCATCGCCGCTGTGATGATGACGCCTCCTCCTTAGAGATCTCTGTGCGAGTCTATGGGTAGCTCTGTGAGTCTGGGTCTCACTGTGAGTCTATGGGTCTCTGTGTGAGTCTATCGGTCTCTGTGTGAGTCTATGTGTCTCTGTGCGAGTCTATGGGTCTCTGTGTAAGTCTATGGGTCTCTGTGTGAGTCTGTGGTTCTCGGTGTGAGTCTATGGGTCTCTGTGTGAGTCTATGGGTCTCTCTGTGTGAGTCTATGGGTCCATGTGTGAGTCTATGGGTCTCTGTGTAAGTCTATGGGTCTCTCTGTGAGTCTATGGGTCTCTGTGTGAGTCTGTGGGTCTCTGTGTGAGTCTATGGGTCTCTCTGTGAGTCTATGGGCCTCACTGTGAGTCTATGGGTCTCTGTGTGAGTCTATCGGTGTCTGTGTGAGTCTATGGGTCTCTGTGTGAGTCTATGGGTCTCTCTGTGAGTCTATGGGTTTCTGTGTGTCTATGGGTCTCTGTGTGAGTCTGTGGGTCTCTCTGTGTGAGTCTATGGGTCTCTGTGTGAGTCTATGGGTCTCTCTGTGTGAGTCTATGGGTCTCTGTGTGAGTCTATGGGTCTCTGTGTGAGTCTATGGGTCTCTGTGTTAAACTATGGGTCTCTGTGTGAGTCTATGGGTCTCTGTGTAAGTCTATGGGTCTCTCTGTGAGTCTATGGGTCTTTGTGTGAGTCTGTGGGTCTCTGTGTTAGTCTATGGGTCTCTCTGTTAGTCTATGGGTCTCTGTGTTAGTCTATGGGTCTCGGTGTGAGTCTATGGGTCTTTGTGTGTGTTTATGGGTCTCTGTGTTAGTCTATGGGTCTCTATGTGAGTCTATGGGTCTCTGTGTGAGTCTATGGGTCTCTGTGTAAGTCTATAGATCTATATGTGTGTCTATGGGTCTCTGTGTGAGTCTGTGGGTCTCGGTGTGAGTCTGTGGGGCTCTCTGTGAGTATCGTTCTGTATGTGACTATAGATCTCTATGTGTGTCTATGGGTATCTGTGTTAGTCTATGGGTCTTTGTGTGGGTGTGGGTCTCGGTGTGAGTCTGTGGGTCTCTCTGTGAGTATCGTTCTGTATGTGACTCTATAGATGTGTGTGTGTCTATGGGTCTCTGTGTGAGTCTATGGGTCTCTGTGTAAGTCTATGGGTCTCTGTGTGAGTCTATGGGTCTCTTTGTGTGAGTCTATGGGTCTCTGTGTTAAACTATGGGTCTCTGTGTAAGTCTATGGGTCTCTCTGTGAGTCTATGGGTCTTTGTGTGAGTCTGTGGGTCTCTGTGTTAGTCTATGGGTCTCTCTATTAGTCTATGGGTCTCTGTGTTAGTCTATGGGTCTCGGTGTGAGTCTATGGGTCTTTGTGTGTGTTTATGGGTCTCTGTGTTAGTCTATGGGTCTCTATGTGAGTCTATGGGTCTCTGTGTGAGTCTATGGGTCTCTGTGTAAGTCTATAGATCTATATGTGTGACTATGGGTCTCTGTGTGAGTCTGTGGGTCTCGGTGTGAGTCTGTGGGTCTCTCTGTGAGTATCGTTCTGTATGTGACTATAGATCTCTATGTGTGTCTATGGGTATCTGTGTTAGTCTATGGGTCTTTGTGTGGGTGTGGGTCTCGGTGTGAGTCTGTGGGTCTCTCTGTGAGTATCGTTCTGTATGTGACTCTATAGATGTGTGTGTGTCTATGGGTCTCTGTGTGAGTCTATGGGTCTCTGTGTAAGTCTATGGGTCTCTGTGTGAGTCTATGGGTCTCTCTGTGTGAGTCTATGGGTCTCTGTGTTAAACTATGGGTTTCTGTGTGAGTCTATGGGTCTCTCTGTGAGTCTATGGGTCTTTGTGTGAGTCTGTGGGTCTCTGTGTTAGTCTATGGGTCTCTGTGTTAGTCTATGGGTCTGTGTTAGTCTATGGGGCTCGGTGTGAGTCTATGGGTCTTTGTGTGTGTTTATGGGTCTCTGTGTTAGTCTATGGGTCTCTGTGTGAGTCTATGGGTCTCTGTGTGAGTCTATGGGTCTCTGTGTAAGTCTATAGATCTCTATGTGTGTCTATGGGTCTCTGTGTGAGTCTGTGGGTCTCGGTGTGAGTCTGTGGGTCTCTCTGTGAGTATCGTTCTGTATGTGACTCTATAGATGTGTGTGTGTCTATGGGTCTCTGTGTGAGTCTATGGGTCTCTGTGTAAGTCTATGGGTCTCTGTGTGAGTCTATGGGTCTCTGTGTAAGTCTATGGGTCTCTGTGTGAGTCTATGGGTCTCTCTGTGTGAGTCTATGGGTCTCTGTGTTAAACTATGGGTTTCTGTGTGAGTCTATGGGTCTCTGTGTAAGTCTATGGGTCTCTCTGTGAGTCTATGGGTCTTTGTGTGAGTCTGTGGGTCTCTGTGTTAGTCTATGGGTCTCTTTGTTAGTCTATGGGTCTGTGTTAGTCTATGGGACTCGGTGTGAGTCTATGGGTCTTTGTGTGTGTTTATGGGTCTCTGTGTTAGTCTATGGGTCTCTGTGTGAGTCTATGGGTCTCTGTGTAAGTCTATAGATCTCTATGTGTGTCTATGGGTCTCTGTGTGAGTCTGTGGGTCTCGGTGTGAGTCTGTGGGTCTCTCTGTGAGTATCGTTCTGTATGTGACTCTATAGATGTGTGTGTCTATGGGTCTCTGTGTGAGTCTGTGGGCCTCTCTGTGAGTATCGTTCTGTATGTGACTCTATAGATCTCTATGTGTGTCTATGGGTATCTGTGTGAGTCTGTGGGTCTCTCTGTGATTATCGTTCTGTATGTGACTCTATAGATCTCTGTGTGAGTCTATGGGTCTCTGTGTGAGTCTGTGGGTCTCTCTGTGAGTATCGTTCTGTATGTGACTCTATAGATCTCTCTGTGTGTATATGGGTCTCTGTGTGAGTCTGTGGGTCTCTCTGTGAGTATCGTTCTGTATGTGACTCTATAGATCTCTATGTGTGTCTATGGGTCTCTGTGTAAGTCTGTGGGTCTCTCTGTGAGTATCGTTCTGTATGTGACTCTATAGATCTCTGTGTGTGTCTATGGGTCTCTGTGTAAGTCTGTGGGTCTCTCTGTGAGTATCGTTCTGTATGTGACTCTATAGATCTCTGTGTGTGTCTATGGGTCTCTGTGTGAGTCTGTGGGTCTCTCTGTGAGTATCGTTCTGTATGTGACTTTATATATCTCGGTGTGAGTCTATGTGTCTCTGTGTGAGTCTGTGGGTCTCTGTGTGAGTCTATGGTTCTCGGTGTGAGTCTATGGGTCTCTCTGTGAGTACCTTTCTGTATGTGACTTTATATATCTCTGTGCGAATCTATGGGTCTCTGTGTGAGTCTGTGGGTCTGTGAGTATCGTTCTGTATGTGACTACCTATATCTCTGTGTGAGTCTATGGGTCTCTGTGTGAGTCTGTGGGTCTCACTGTATCGTTCTGTGACTCTAGATCTGTGTGAGTCTATGGGTCTCTGTGTGAGTCTGTGGGTCTCTCTGTGAGTATCGTTCTGTATGTGACTATCTATATCTCTGTGTGAGTCTATGGGTCTCTGTGTGAGTCTGTGGGTCTCTCTGTGAGTATCGTTCTGTATGTGACTCTATAGATCTGTGTGAGTCTATGGGTCTCTGTGTGAGTCTGTGGGTCTCTCTGTGAGTATCGTTCTGTATGTGACTATAGATCTCTGTGTCTATAGGTCTCTGTGTGAGTCTGTGGGTCTCTCTGTGAGTCTATGGGTCTCGGTGTGAGTCTGTGGGTCTCTGTGTGAGTCTGTGGGTCTCTGTGTGAGTCTATGGGTCTCTGTGTGAGTCTGTGGGTCTCTGTGTGAGTCCGTGGGTCTATGTGTGAGTCTGTAGGTCTCTGTGTGAGTCTGTGGGTCTCTGTGTGAGTATCGTTCTGTAGCTGGTGCGGTGTGTATGCAACATCAACACTAGCTAGACAAAGGCGGCCGGGCGTGGTGTTGTTAGCCTCACACCACCCACCACTCCTCACGTGCGACGTGTTGCCCTCCGCCGCACGTGCTCCTCCTGAACAACACGTGCCCCCAAAGTGTGCGAAAGGGCTATACCGGTCCCCACCTTTGTGTTTCATTCCGGTAAAGAGCTCGCAATGGTCGTGTCAGACACACAGCCAGAGGACATCGAGAGGATTCCGTGTTCAAAACAAATCACGCACACATTTATCACGCATTGACCGGATTATAAGACGCGGTGCCCCGCTGCCCAATAAAGTTGCACAGATCTGTGTCTCGATTTAAAGCTTTCGTGACTGCAAGGATTCATCTTCTTTGGTTCTTTCGGTAAAGTCACCACCACGTAGAATGAGAATAAAATAATAAATTGATCAAATAAAATAACACGATAATATTCTCACGACGTTTCGGCCACAACACAAGCGGCCTTCATCAGGTGAAGGGGACGAGACTGTCTGGAGGACAGAAGATCTGTGTCTCACACGCACGCACAGTGACGACGAAGCACCGCACGGGTGGATTCAAGAATCCATCCGCGTGCAGTCCCCACCTCTTGATATCCACCCCGGGTGGAGCCTGCAGCGGCCTCCCTTGGCACTATCACGCGGCCTTGCCGTGCGCGTGGAGGCCACGGATTGCCCCCCAGCCCCCCGGGCCCCCCGGGGCCTGCTTGGCTTGCGAGGCGAGTCAGGCCGTAGGGGTGGCGCCTTGGTGGCGAGTGGGTCGGGGTGGGGGGGGGGTATTCCGCGCACGTTCTGGACACCACGTGGATGGTGTGCTGCTCGGTTTAATGAGGGAGGAGCCGTGAGAGGGGGGGGGGGCGTGAGAGAGAGGGGGGGAGAGCTGTGAGAGAGGGGGAGCTGTGAGAGGGGGGGGGAGCCGTGAGAGAGAGGGGGGGGAGCTGTGAGAGAGGGGGGGGAGCCGTGAGAGAGAGGGGGGGAGAGCTGTGAGAGGGGGGGGGGGAGCCGTGAGAGAGAGGGGGGGGAGCTGTGAGAGAGGGGGGGGAGAGCTGTGAGAGGGGGGGGGAGCCGTGAGAGAGAGGGGGGGAGCCGTGAGAGAAAGGGGGGGAGAGCTGTGATAGGGGGGGGGGAGCCGTGAGAGAGAGGGGGGGAGAGCTGTGAGAGGGGGGGGGAGCCGTGAGAGAGAGGGGGGGGGAGCTGTGAGAGAGGGGGGGGAGAGCTGTGAGAGGGGGGGGGGGCCGTGAGAGAGAGGGGGGGGGGAGAGCTGTGAGAGGGGGGGGAGCTGTGAGAGAGAGGGGGGGAGCCGTGAGAGAGAGGGGGGGAGAGCTGTGAGAGCGGGGGGGAGCTGTGAGAGAGGGGGGGAGCCGTGAGAGAGAGGGGGGGAGAGCTGTGAGAGGGGGGGGGAGCTGTGAGAGAGAGGGGGGGAGAGCTGTGAGACGGGGGGGAGCTGTGAGAGAGAGGGGGGGAGAGCTGTGAGAGAGGGGGGGAGCCGTGAGAGAGAGGGGGGGGAGCTGTGAGAGAGGGGGGGGAGCTGTGAGAGAGGGGGGGGGGAGCTGTGAGAGAGGGGGGGGAGCTGTGAGAGAGGGGGGGGGAGCTGTGAGAGAGGGGGGGGAGCTGTGAGAGAGGGGGGGGGCGTGAGAGAGAGGGGGGGGAGCTGTAAGAGAGGAGGGGGGGCGCTGTGAGAGAGGGGGGGGGGGGAGCTGTGAGAGAGGGGGGGCCGTGAAGGAGAGGGGGGCCGTGAGAGAGGGGGGGGCCGTGAGGGAGAGGGGGGGCCGTGAGAGAGAGAGGCGCCGTGTTTCTTCCCTCTGTGCTCTCCTCCCATCACCGGCTATCCGCTGCCTTGACCCAGTTTGGTGGAAATTCTACGTTCTCGTGACCGAGGCCAGTGCCTCTCGCAGGTCAATCGCTGGTGAATTCCCACGGCCTTGAAACGGTGGTGTTTCTGAGACGCTCCAACAGCGAGCTGACCTCCTTCGACGTTGACTTTAAGATCAAGGTGCGAGCAAGCATCACCATCATCATCACCACGATCGTCACCATAACTATGATTATCAGCATAACATCATTATCAAAGCCATCAACATGTGTTTATTGTCAACCTCCTCTTCATCATCATCACGACCACTGCATCTAAACCCGTTCATCATCAATACCATCAGCAACATCATCATAATCATGATGCCATCTTCATTCACCATCATCATCATCACCACCACCACCATCTCTCCGGCTGTGGTCACCAGAACA